AATCAAGTATCATATACGAGACAAAATTTAGTCAGATAAATTAACGTTTGGCTAACTAAATTTTACAATTTATTGTTTTTTAATCAAAACAAAGCGCACCATTTTTTTCAGTGTTGCAAATAATTTCCAAAAATTATTTTTTCCTGTATACATATAAATATGTGTTATATTAATTAAAAGTAGCGGTTATATTTAGTGATTTAAAAATGAAAACATATTTTAAGTCTATATTGAGATATAAATCAAACTAATCAATAATGATAAGCATCAGTACGAATCATTACGTTTCTCTTGTTATTTCAAATATATTTGAAAAATTTATTTTTTTATTTAACCTTACAATTTTCTCACATACTGGGTAATAAATGTGCATTATACTAAAAAAGTTGATATATTTTTGCCGAAATTTTTGTATGGAAACACTCTTCGCCTCACCACAAAAAATTAACTTGCGATAGATATATATTTAATACATATTTAGACGCTTTACTACAAATGCGTTTCTAAGATTCGTTAAATAAACGAATGTAAATGTTATTAAAAAGAAGTGTTTAAAATAATAATTATGATATTCTATAAATTTTGGTACTTAAAATTCCAAATAAACATTATTATTACTGTTGAATTTTGTTAAACTCTGCTTAGAGAAAGATTGTTTAAATATTAGGTTTAAATATTTTTTGTATTAAGATCGTCTATCTATATAATCTAAGGATTATTTATAAAAATACTGTTTTTTTTTTATAAGATAGTTTATCAGAGTTACAAAGCATTTTTACGACAAGTCTTGTAGCTCTATGCAGATCCAATCATAACGTTAACATGTTATGCATATTACAAAGAATGTACAAAATGTAAGTACAAACACGTATTTTTTTACGAAGATCAAAGTCGAATGATGACTTATAATTCCGGAATACAAATAAGTAACTTTTAAACTGTCCCACAATTTCGTAAGCATTCCGTCCAAAATTGACATTCTTTTGTTTAGTATTCTACCAATGAAACTTAATGTCACTCTGATAGAAACAAGATTCGAAATATTATAAAATGTTTTGTATCTCCTACTTGGTAACATATGCATGAAAGAATCATGCATTTCGGTCAGGTTGTCTTACCAATCTGGGGTTCTTGCATAGATAGACAATATTATATATGTATATATACATAAAAACTAATTAACTAACAATTAATTTAAGCTAACTTATTAACATATCTAGTAGAAATAAGATAATATTGTAATAATGCAAAAAATTAAAGGCTTATATATATATATATATATGTACACAAAGAATTTTTTGGGTATTTTCTATTACGTAATGAATTTTATTTTACAAACTACTACTAGGGCTGTCTGACCAAACTTAACTCATTCGGCTGTGTAAAAAATATCTATATAATTATAATTAATCAGCTACAGTTAGTGTAATATAGCGAAAGGAGGTATCATTTTTAACTACAGTAAGTGTAATGAAGGATTCTTTAAGTCATATCTTTCAATCGATTATATATATATGGACCTGCCAACTAAGAACCTGTTTTTCGATAAATTAAAAATAACGTAAAATAGTTAATTTTAAATTTTCGCATTGTTTACATCTATTTTAAATACACTATCAGGACATAACGCGATGAAAAAAATTACAAGTAAATAGTACCTAAATACCTGTTTCTTTATTGCCGACATGGATTGCACCACGTCATGACCATAACGTGGTGCAATCCAAATATTTTCGATGCGTTAAATCCCGGTAGTGTATTTAAAAAGCGTATAAAATGTTAACAATGGGACCGATTCGAAGTTGCTATTTCTCTAATTTATCCCTTAACTTAATATTTTAAATTGATAATATCGCAAAATTACTGTTTCACAGACTTATTACAAATTTAGATCTTATTGGTTCTTATAATTCGTTGTGATATCAAATTGAAATTTTATTCTTAGAGATAGATTTAGAGAAATGGGACCTCCGAACCGATTCCACTGTTAATGTTCCATCATTAATTTAGTATGGACTTTAAATAAGATAACCATTTTATTCCGCGAACTTGACTGTTTGCGTAACACAAAAATCCGACAATCGGACACAACGAGCAGCGATAAATGTTTGTGTGTTATGCAGAAGCGTAACCGCGTGAGAGAAGGTATTATGCAATACAAATGTCGGTCGCGTCGGCAACGACGCAAGTCCGCGACAGGTTTTGGGTTCGGAAGTGCAAATGTGCATTCATGTCGCCAATATACTATTAAGTAACAAAAACATCTTTATGTAAATATAAAAATGTATTCGTGCGACCTTTCTTCATTCGACGGTATATTTTGTCTTGTTGATTATGTTGTTTTCTTTTTTGTAATCAATATCGTTTACCTGCATGAGGTTCTATACAAATTTTATCACGATTGGATTCTCTTTGTCAAAAATAATCAATTAACTCGCAATGATAGTTGTATTTAGTGTAATTTAAGTGTTCTTATAATACAAATAGGTCAACATTAATAAATCAAGTAATATCAACAATACTAAAATGTCATTTTCGTCAAAAAGAGTATCATCAAAATTTATTTAATTACACAATAAATACTCATAATAAATTGTAAATCACCTTTTTGTACTTGTTTAAAATGTAGGTTATTTAATAAATATTATATCTACCATATGGTCAAGATGTTATTACTGTATACTTTAAATATGGATTATATACGATCAATTTCTAAATTAATGTAAAAATAAATATCTAACATTTACTTTACTATATTTAGTATTAACAGTGTTCTACATATTGTAACATGAAACCATTTCAAATGCGGATGAGGAAAGTACAAAACAAACTTACCGCATCATTACATAATTATGCATTATACGTAGTTATGTTAGTAGTTATTGATGTAAGTATAACAAGTTTAACAAGGTTTTGAAGAAATGGTTTTGTTTATAAATTGTGGTATTTGTTATGTTTTTCTATCTTGTGCCATGAAATATATTTCATGTTATGGTCACATAGCCATATTGTTTTATTAAAAAAGTATTTTAATATCCTAATATTGGTTCAATATTTTTATCACTTTTTGCAAAAAATTTAGAATATATGTACATTTCGTTCCGTAAAATAGCGAACACACCGATAACTGACGAGATATTTCCTATTGTATATATTTTTTTAAACATTTCGTCATTTATTGACATGTTTTTGTTCGTAATTGAAATCGTTGTTTTTGTTTATATAAAGCACTTAAAAGCAAATCAAGTACACAAGTCGAAGAATAAATCTATAATACAGGTCAAGCGTGTATTAGAGATTTAGTGACGTATTCAAATTCTTTTTCTTTAAGTTTCTGCACCTCTAGATAGTCAGAGGACGTCCACAGTAATCCCTCATTATATATATTTCATATTAACTATTACTTATTATACATAATATTTCAATTTAAATATTACTAATTTTTTAAATTAAGTAACTGATTCTGTAAATTATTGCTGATGTAATTAACACTCGTACTACTAGATTGTGGTATAAAGGTGTGATTGCCTATTATTAATTTTAATAAGTGTTAGTTTATTTTTATCCAATTGAACTAGGTACCAAATTAAATCGTTTAAAATAAGTACCTACTACACAGGATAGATATTACTATGCAACATATAATTTTCTTTAAAGAGGTTTTCAATTGTGTTGTAGTTTTTATATCTATGCTTCGTGATGTCATAACCAACCCAGAATTAAATTTGATTATTATTTTTAAATTAATATAGTTTACTCCTACGTTGATTTTAAACTAATTTTGTTTCGTAACATTGTCCGTGTGTTTGTAAAATTAACTTTAAACTAATTTGACTTATTTTTTATTTTGTTCTTTCACAAAAAGAACCAATTGAATTCGATAGTCTTAAAAGGTTGTTTTTTAATATTCTGTCAACGGCCTTTATAATATCTTTGTAATACATCTGTTACTTGTGCATTCATAAGTTTATTTGTGTGTCATTAATGGAGGCTCTTAACTTCTTGCATAGTACCCGCATAATACAATTTATACCTTTAAACTGACGGTGTACTATCAGGCTAACTCTATACCTTCAAGCTTAATATTATTGAGTTGGGATCTAACTTGAATCAAACATAAGTGAGCCTACTGATCACAACTAGACAAAATCAAGTTGGGTTGTGAGTTTATATTACTAATACCAACATTATGAAAATAATGTTCTTTGTTAACTTATTAATTAAATTCATATCCTTGTTGTTGATCAAAGATTACTACTGAATATAAAATAATATTTTTTTTCTTACAAACGTCTTATAATAATGGCAAATGATAAATATTTATTTATGATTATGACTGAAAATTCAAATATAAATTTAGGAATTCTGTAAGATAGTATTTATAGTTCATACCATATTTCTTTTTCTTAAATAGTAATAGAAGTAACCTTACTTTATTATTACTTCCACTGTTGAATATGAATATTTATTCTTATGAGCACATAGTCTATTATATATCAAACTAGCCAGGTAGCTTTGTTAATTTCGAATTTTCTGTTCCTATACTGTTATTTTGTGTTTTATTCACTTATTTACGATATTCTAATAACTAAAGGATTAGTATCATATTGTATTCTTACTTCGTTATCGCATGAATAAATTAAGACATAGCGTAGAAGGAACAGGTTCAAATCTCGCTCGTTACAATTTTTTTAGCGACACAATATTTATTGAAATATGGATTTCATATCTTAAAAATATTTTAAAATTGAAATCCATATTACATATAAAATATACATATTAAATAGAAAAATATTTACTTCTAATTATTGTTTGTTTATATTAGAATTCCCTTATTCATAAAAATGCCAAACTTCTCATAAACATTTTAGCATTTGTCTTTTTCTTTCACATTAAATTCTTAATTTGAAACAAAGTGACAAAACATTCTAATAGTTAAAATAAATTTGTAGGGAATTTTATTTTTTATGAATAAGGGGGTAAGTTTAATATTAAATTACCTGATATCTGAATGGTAATTAATCCAATTAAAATTAACCACTTCTCACTAGTTTTCATATTTTTGGAACCACTTTTTAATATGTTTATTTATTCAAATAACAATAAGGTATAATATAATTACCACTGTACAATATTGACGTCAATGATTTTTAGAAGTCTATAATTATAAAACTACGACAATATATCACAAGTCGTGTGATATTAAATAAAAAATAATTGTTTTTACGTTAAATTTAATGATGAATATCAAGTGTGTGCGGAACCCTAAAAGCGTGTAACCACATGCGTACTCAGCGGTAATACTGAGAGCGAAAGTGTTCGCGTCGACCCTCGCCTGTAGAATTCCCCCGTTGCGGATAAGTTGACAGTCAGGCACTACCGCTGATCACCTTACACATTAACGTCATCACGGCATTTTTATGTCACTAATTATTATTATTAAAAAATTTTAATGTTTGCAGCTTCAGATAACTAAATTGCAAGAAAACATTGTCATAGGTTGATACTCTTTTATTCGTAATTATAAATTTAGGTTATTAATCAAAATATTTTTTTTTAATTACTTGTTTGTTATTTTATGTAATTATGCTTATATCCTTATTTCTATTTCATCTGTTACTTATATTATACGAATCCTTACTAGATTTTATTAATATTGAAGTGAATTTGTTTATTAGCTTTTGTATCTTTAACGGCCACCAATCGTCATGAAATTTAACATAGTACATATTTGGGATGAAGAAGGTCATGTCTTTTGATAATATAGATGAAGTCATTGATAAAAATAATAAGATCTGAAAGCCCATTTCCAAGAAAATTGGCCTAATTTCATTTGAAACAAACGAATTTAATTATAATAAAATTAGTATATATTTATAATTGTCTAAATATAAATATTTTTTTTATTAAAAAATCACAATCGTTTAACTACTCGACAAATATAATAGTATGTCCATGGTACTGCTCATGTCTATAGGCGACGGTTACCACTTTCCTTCAGGTGGACCGTCAGCTTGTTTGCCATTCTAAGTTGCATAAAAAAATATATATATAAAAAGTTAGCAAATTTTCATTACTATATACATATCATCTTTATATTCAATACAATTTTATTTGTATATATAGATTTGATATAAAAATAAAAGATTATGTTCTTTGAAAAATATTGTAAGCTTTTGACTTACCTATTTAGATTAAAAATATGGCCTAAATTCTCTCCGATATTACCGGCAGTACTATATGAATATATGTTGTTTTGTTGACAATATGTTTGGGGTCATTTACATAAAGAATTTTTTTATAGGTTAAACATAATAAAACGAAACATAGACACTACAACATTAGCCAATAATCCGGATATTGATCCGCTTTATATCGTTTCGATTATTTTATTAACAATTTCCAAAGTTGCGGATATCATTACTTTTATTGAGTATTTAAAGTAATTTTCTTAAATACGAGCATATCTGTGTCTGTGTGCATTTCATGCAAAAGTTTATATGAAAAAATAAAATAAAATTTTAACACAGATACTGTAATTGTAGGTATTTAAATAAAAAAAAACTATATTCAAGCAATGCTGGTTACTCATCCATCAGTATGTTGTAATCAGGCAATTGACTTACATACACCATTTCGATTATATCTCCAAAGTTACTACCGGCATTACCGGACAGGCAGTAATACAATTTTCCTTAACTTCAATCGTAATCTGTGTCATGTGGTTGACTTTACGTAACTTGGGGTCATTTATTTTAGACCATTTACAAGAAAAATCCTAGTTATTTTTTTAATAAAGAACATTGCATCTGTTGCTGGAACTTAGCTGGCCTTGTTTATAATTTTATGTACTTTTCATAATTTTACTTATTTTTGATATAATATGTTCTTTATTTATCATATGTTAGCTATGTGGTCTCGACGCAGAATGGGCCACATTATATTTAAATTCTCGTGGATGTCGTAAGAGACGACCAATCAAGCGCTACTTGGAAGAACAGTATGCAGCTTTGACTGCGCTATTATCGTTTTCTATCGATTCTTTAGTTCATAAATACAAACAAATAAAGAACAAACAAATAAAAACGTAATATTTTGTGAATATCTTGGCATGAGGAATCTTTTACAAAATTTCAATGAAGATATTAAGGTTCATTAACACGAGTAGTGGTAGTTTTGTATTATTGTTGCTGATCTTTTATGACCTTATATTTTACTCAGATTTCCTTTTGTTAGGCCCACGCGCATATGGTGACTCACTGTTTGTTCTAAAGAAGTACAAGCCGGATACGCTGAAAAATTAAATATATTCTTCAGAAATAAAAATGTTACAAATAAAATATTTAATTTCTATTATAAAGAAATAAAATATATTAAAAAAAGAGAAATGAAAATGATCTAATATAAACAAGCTATTAACAATAATATTTTTTTATTTTTATGATATAAGCAAAAGAACATACAGCTCACTTGATGGTAAGTGATTACAGTTGCCCATAGGCACCCACAAAATCAATGAAATTGCAATTTGCCTTTTAGGAAAGAATATGCTGAATAACTTGGTGGAGTTTTAAACACATACCTATTGATTTAATTAAAAAACCATACTTGTACTCTTTTATACATTTATTCATTGTCAATTGCCAATTATTTGCTTGGAATAAAACAAATATAAATAAACAATTGAAAATGCCTTGAAAGACGAAACTGGTTCGGTATCTATTGACATAAATTGTTCTTGTAGTAAACAAGTGTTCTTGCAGACAAATAATCTTTTGTCTTAAATGTTATCATCGGACTAATTGAACCTTGATAATAGATATGATTTAAATGTATAAAGATATGTTTATTTACAATAATTTGTAAAATTTGTCACTTTTGCTTTAATAAAAATATATTTAAATTTCACGAATTGTGTCAACTGCAAATTTACTTTAATCTTCACTTTAGATACTAAATTGCTTTAGGTAAAATCCATGTGGTAAAATATATAAGAAATATATTAATGGAAAAGAAAATAATCTTTGACACATGTTTAGCTATAAACTGTTATTATAGCATTCATTCAAATCAGTGGTAAAGTAGTTGTAAAAGGGAAGTATTTCCTAGTGAAAGTATGGAAGTGTTTCGGTCCCTGCACTTTGATATAGAAGCAGTGGTAACGAGTAATTATGATGGCGGGAGATTACAAATATCAAGGGACTATATTTCTATAAATTACGAGATCGTAATGATTATTTATTGTTTATGAATTTATGATTATAAGAATATTAGATTTAAAATTATAGATTTTATGGTTATAGTCTTGCTAAATAACTCTCTACTGTAAATGCCATTCACTGCAATCATTTTTTTTTCGAAAATGATAAATAAATACACATTAGTATTTGAAATCGAATGGATGATTGAGTGAAATCTCTTTATTATTATTCCCTTGAAAGAAAAGTAGAATCAGATAAAAATAAGTACTTAATAAAATTAGATTTATAAGAACCAAGGTAAATATAAATAAGTGTAAATATATATGTTGCTAACATACTTAGTGGTAACGTATTCTCCAAATAATATATCTTCATTGGAGTCATAAAGTTCGCACCAGCCAATCATGTAACTTATCCAAGAATAGCATTTCGTAGCATAAAATCCAACATCTGTAACTATTGACTCGGCATAATATTGCGGAGCTCTGGCATGTGAACATGATGAGCTAGCTAAAAAATATAATAATAAAAATATAAAAAATAAATGCCTGACAAACATTATAAAATATAGATTTCAACAAGCATCGTACACACTAAGAATGTTTTTTGGCACTATAGGAAAGGAAAATTTGGCACTAAAGATTCCAGTATCTATATTACAGTACTCTCTTCAAATTTAAAAATACCTAATTGAAAACACAGAATTTGGGTTACTATTGCAACAGCTATTAGAGTATGAGTATTATAACCGAGTCACTCTAACGATACTATCTAATATTTAGTATATATTATGCTAACTAGTGTTATAATTATCTGTGATATCATATTCTAAGTTACAAAATATGCGAACTGTACTCACATTCATTCTTAGTTGTCCGGCAGCCGGGTTGCGTAAGTCCTCCGTTAGCGTAAAAATCAACCTTCCCACAAGACTCTAGCTTCCCTTTTTCTAGAGAATTCGTGTGTAAAACGTCTACAAAATTCGCATCATCTGAATCTATTTTCTTTTTCTTATCATGCGTTACAAAAAGGGGCATTGCCGGGTCTAGAGCTGTAAATAAGATCATAAAAATTAGATTACTTTATTTTACAATAATTGTATATATCTTAAAACTGTAGACGAATTATAAGGTGGCCTATAACCCTGTTTATCGTGCAGGTGGTCATTTCTAACGATTGATCGATGAGTAAAATTTATATTTCCTGTGTCAAAATATTCACTTTGCCACAGGTTTTTATTTTTTACGAAGTGTAAGAGATTAGGTAATGCATGCGATTTAAGTAACCGTTTTATAATGATATCCTTGACAAAAATCGTGATCATTCCACTAATATAAAAATAATAACCTTCTATATAATATAAAATATGATAAATACCTATATTGGCTTTACTTGATATTCAAATTTATATATTGATATTGATATTTATGTTAGGTCAGTGTTAGAATGTTTAAAATTATCATTCCTTTTATTTATCTAACCAAATACTACCTATTCTAACTAGTTTGGCCATACATACTGTTACATAAAAACCTTAAATTTTTTTTTTCAACTTTTTAATTATTTTGAATTTGGAACATGTTATTATTTTAAAAACTTCTTTCGATTTCACGCCAATTCATATATTTTTTTTTTGTTCCTTATCAAATTACAATATGTAATGAGGCGTAAAGGAAATATGATTGCAGTGATTGCCTTACACAAAGTGGGTATGGAGCAGTTGGTCATATTCCAGACACTTCAAAAGCTTGGTATCAGCTGTATGTTCGTAATCGTACTTACGTACCGATATACGTTATCGATGAAAAAAATTTCACGATTGAAAACACTACAATAAGCAAAATGATAAAATGTACACTCACAGTTTTAAAGAAGCTGCTCAAGTGGTCGGAAAGGTAAAACGTGATCATCACCCTATATCAGTGATGATTAGGTGGGGCGTGTCTTATCAAGGAGTAACAAAACTATATTTTTGTGAAAAAGGAGTAAAAACTTCAGCCAAAGTTTGGGATCGTATTGTGAAACCTCTCAGCAATACACTTTTTAAAAATATACCATGGACTTTTCAGCAGGACTCTGCACCTGGTCGCAAGGCACGAACTACCCAAGCTTGGCTTGAAACCAACATTCCGGACTTTATAAGAGCTGAAGACTGGCCCTCATCTAGCCCTCAACCCTTTAGACTTTAAATCTTGGTAAGTTTTAGTGGGCAAGGCCTGCTCTAAACGACACAGCGACATTGAGAGTCTTAAAAAATCTTTGGAGCAAGCAGTGTGGAAGCATCATCAGATATTGAATTAACTACACGATAATAAAAAAATATAGTATATTTATTACGTGGTATATATCATCAAATTCTGTTGTCATTTGAAAAATATTTGTTACATGATCAGTCAATTTGTTGTTCATCTTTTGTTTATAGATGTAATTTACATCCAGAAAATCGTTCAGAATGATGAGACTTACCACTTTTAAAGTTGATATCTCGTTTACGACTAATTCGATATCTCACATTAAATAAATATATTATTTATATAACTTTCATAGAATATTTTAATTCCTAAACGTATCGATACGACTGCCGTTACGTTTACAATACTAAATATTAAAATTGTATTATTACGTACAAGGTAAATTAATTTTGCATGATAATACCGGGCTATGAAATGGAACAGAAACGTGATAATATGTAAACAATTTTGCATTTTATCGCATATAAAAATATTGGTCTTATTATTCAATAAAAATAATATTTTTCAGATATAACCATATTCTATTAACAGCTATAACTATTAATTATGATTTTTAAGTTCACCATCGTTATTTGCGTAATTAGACATAATTTGCAAACTATCCAACTATCCTAATCCTAGTAACGAATTTTGAAATAGAGAATTATCATTTCAAATTGGTTTCCATATTTCTATAATAACGAGTATTTAAATGGAAATGATTACACCTATAATGATTATCATTATAAGGTGAAGTATATTAACAATAGTTTATATGTATACAAAGTATAGAAAGATACAATAATGGTTTAAGTACAGCTTACAAGAAGATTGTACGTGTGTTGTTGTTACTTTTTCTGATATTACAAAAGTTATTTATTGATCTCAAATTTTCTCTGGCAATAAATTCTTCCAATAATATAATTTATAAAAATGTTGTTCAGTTTCCTAATGTTATTTCAATATTATAAATAGGAACCTTAAATCGAAATTTAAACTAAAACTATTAAATTCCGTTGCACCTGATTTAATTAGTCAGATGCATACAGTTACGATATCTTTTTAAATCTATGCTATGGGTTACCGTTTTCTATTAGGTGATCCATTAATTTATTTGTCATTTCATGTAATAGAAAAAATAACATTAAATAATGATAATAAATATTTACCCGTAATTCTATCAAATCGTCCCGACTTTATGTAGTTTGCCACATAGCCAACAACTTGTCCACCAAGACTAAAACCTATCAAATGGAATTGACTAATACTGAAATTATGATTTTGAATAAGTTCGTCAATCAACTGTGCTGTACATTTGCCAACTAGTTCAGTATTTGTTGCTGCACTGACGTAACAAGGCTCTCTGGCTATAGGATTGTAGTCTATAGATATTATGTTGTAGTTGCAGCATTGCATATATGCTGGAAATATCAAAAATTAAATTAATGTAGTTAATATTAATAAGTGCAATGATGCGCTTACTTTTTTAGCAACCTCATTTGGATAAAATATATTACATTTATTTATTAAAAGGGATATATTAGCAAAATGTATGTTATATAGATAAAAATGAATTTAGACCAAAGCCAAACACCAAAGCCATTAAGATCTATTCAAACCAAGATCCATTCTTCTACGTCATCAATAGTGTTACATATTAAAAGTATTTTACGAGCATTGTAAGAGCACTACTTTATTGTTTGTTTGCATTCGCGAACAATTCTATATGTTGTTCTTTTAGACCATACATCTATATATTTTGTTATATGGTTTTTTATATGATTGCATTTTAGCCTTTGATATTTTATTTCTGAAGGTAATAAAATATTTTTTTCTGGATTACATTGATAGTTATATAAATGATTATTATTAAATATTTATAATATATACATTTTAGAATTTTTACAAGTTGCAATTATTCTTAATTATTTATAAATTATTATTAACTATTATTATATATATTATATTATAACTAACCCGGTCTAATTTCTGTATTTGGTGAAAAATCTTTATGTCCGGTATACCCATGAGACAATATTTTAATCGGAGCATTTTTGACCCATGGTGCTGTTTCTAGTGATTTACTATCCATAGCAAGTAATTCATGGGGACTGTCTTTGTTTTCTCTGAAATAGTTACATAAATTAAGTATATTAATATAATATATGCTTATAGAAATATCCAAAGAAAATATCTTTTTTTTTTTATACAACTTAGAATGGCAAACAAGCTGACGGCCCACCTGATGGAAAGTGGTAACCGTCGCCTATAGACATGAGCAGTACCATGGACATAACAAAGTATACTGTTTCGCCCATGATATCCCCCATGCGTTGCCATTCTTGAGGACTCAGGTGTTATTCCTCTGTACCCAGTAAATTCACGCCATATCCTACCCTTCAAACCGAAACACAGCTATACAAACACAACTGCTTTACAGTGGAAACACGAATGGGACAGAGGTACCCAAGCAATCGACTTTTGTACAAAGTCTCCCTCTATCATCATCATCAGTCTCCATCAAAGACATAGTACTAATAAATGAGAAATGCAATAAAGACCGATCTAAAATTTGACGACCCGCAACTTATTTAAACAGCCTACATTGTCAGTAGCAATGAAATATTTTTCTCTTTATTCAGTTTTGACCCTTCATATAGACATAAAGATGAGCATTACACTTACCTTGTATATAACCAAAATGTCACGTTTTCATTGGGGCATTCTAATGGAGGTGTAACACAATTAAATTCACAAAGAATAGGGTAAATCACTGTAAATTTAATAAAATTTTATTAGTAGTTATTATCATTATATATAAAATTATTAAAATATATTACAAGTCTACAATAAATGATAAAACGTTACGTGTTTCTTCTCTGATATTACTATCTTGTTTATTTCTATCGCAAAGTAGTAATACGTGAATTGTTTGAAAAACAGTTTGTGTTCCACATAAAGAAACCGATTTCAATTGTGACAAAATTATTTTTATTTAAAGACTAAACTACTGAGCCGATTTTGATAAAATTTCTGTGAGACCGACCTGAAAACCGATTTATAAATAATAAAATGATGGAGTTATGAGATAACAATCTTAAAAAAATACTAATTGAGATACTCCTTATTTTTTAAAGTCGGTTGAAAAATTAGTTACAATTTTTTATATAAAGAAATATTTTGGTCAATTAGTAACGTCAACCACTTACATAATGTCCTGTTTAGGCCCTGTACAAACGCGTTTCTACAGAAAATTCCCCACATCTCTCTCACCTCCCATAAGCTTTTAAGATAGTCTAAGGACAGTATATTTGAATCTGGTTATAATAAACCCCCTAAAACTTCCATTTCGCATACGTATTATACAAATATACAATTATACACAAAGAAATTTAGTATGCGGACAACATGTCTATCATCTGCACGGGTTTTATTCAGCAATATTGCCATATTCTTATAATTTACACAGATATTTATTGAATGTTGGTATTTAATTAATCTAGTAAGTTAAATTTTTCGTGTCAAGATAATATTCTTGTTATTTTAGTTCTAAGTAACATCTAAAGATACATTTAAAATAATACTTACAAATAGACTTCAGTAGGAGGAATGTTGCTAACATTATCATTCCTATATACTAGTAGTACTTAAGGTTTATATTATTTGATTAAGTACTTAGATATTTAAAATTTTAAAAAAGAAACTATAGTATTATTTTATGCTTTCTTTTTTCATAATTACTTGTTACTTTACTTCTTCAAAGTCACCACAGAACTGAGACTGTCAATAATTTAAGGGGCTTATCACTGATATTTACATGGTGTATACCTTAATACAGTTTATCCAGGTGTTCTATTCAAATTATAGTAATCTATGCTAATAAAGTCTACATATTATTATTGATATTGTAATCTATTATATTGATATTACTTCCTTTCCTTTAATTATAAAATTTCATTCTTAACAATATTAAATAATAATAATGACATTATAAAATTGTAACGACATTAAAACCTTATTATTTTTAGATTTTACTATAAAAAGAAAATTTTACGAATCCCCCAACGGAGTTGTTTACTGTTTCCTTAAGTAAAGTTGGCTACCCATTTATAATATAATTAATACGAATGCACACACACAAACACATTTTTATGTTCCATAAAAATATTATCTATTGTTAAACTGGAATAACACGTTATTCATTTGCAATTACCTGTATTCCGTGGCCTTACTCGTGTAAATTAGGACAAAAAGTAGATAACCTATTTGTTAATCTAAGATATGGTTTATGTTTATAAACTTTATTAAATCAATATTATTTTTCTGCCCTTACACTAATTATTCGCAGTCATCGTAATATATTTACCAGAAAGGGATTTAACAGCCTTATTGCTAGCAATGTACCTTATAAGGTCGTTGTTTTATACAATAAAACATATTATTTTTAACCTGTTGAGGTTTTTCCAAGAAACTACAGCATGGAGTTCTTCAAAAAAGGGGTTAAGAGGTTTCTTCAGGGTCCGCAATCTGGTACTTCAGGCTTTTTTTTATACAACTTAGAAAAGCAAATAAGCCGACGGCCCACCTGATGGAAAGTGGTAACCGTCGCCTATAGACATGAGCAATACCATTGACATAACAGAGTATACTACTTCGCCCATGATACCCCCCATGCGTTCATAGCCTACGGTAACCGCTTACCATCAGATGGGCCGTATGCTTGTATGCCACCTTAGTGGTATAAAAATATATAACACTGTACAAAATTGTTCTTCTTTTTGTATTCGTTTTCTGCCGTCAGGCAGCAGTGTTCGCACGGTTGTATTACAGTTTGAAGAGTGGGATATGGTAGTGAAATTACAGGTTACGGAGGTAAAACATCTTAGTTCGGGGGGAAGGGATTGTTAGTAATGCGGATTATTAGTCCCATTGCTAGCAATATAACTTGTCAGGTCGATTTTCACGTAGCCCCTCCTGGAAACCATTGTGCTGAACTCCAGGTGCATTCATCATAATGGGCTAACTGACCTGCCTTTTCATTCTCATCTATCATCCGTCACTAGTGTTGCGCCAGCGTATACCGTTAGCGCAGGCGGGGGGTTACCATTTTATTTTCATCCATTAAAAAAAACATTTCAGTCCTCAGGAACGTCAACGCATGTAGAGTGCCATGGGCATCGCAGAGACAGAATTCTGATGTTTATGATGCTGTATAGTGAATAGGTTGTTTTGTTATTAATATTTATATTAAACAATTAATAAATTAAAATTAATATGTACAATTTTTATGTCAAAATTAAAGCTAAATACTATTTAGAAAATAAAACTACTCAACCCTATTTTTGTTCTAAATTGACATGTAAATGATATTAAAATTGTCGTCACTTACATGCGTGTTTGTCATCTTATCACTACAGTTACAAGCAGTTTTTTTTTTGGAATTGTAGTACCTTTAACTAACAATGCTACTAATTGCCTGTAGGGCAACCATTGATAATATATTAAGGGCATAGTGTTAGAACAGTGGTTCCTAACCTTTTTAATATTGTTACCTTTGTGACCTATTAGGAATATTGATTATACTCTAACTTTAAAATTTTATCAATACAAGCGAATACAAATATCTATATTCGTCACAAACTGCACAACATATATTTTTTTATTTTATATTATTTTACTAGATTAAGTCTTAATTATTAGATTCTTTGTTGCCCCCCCGAAATAGCTGGTTAACCCTCGCGGGTTATCATTATTCACAGATAACGTAAACCAAGCGTTGAAGCATAGCATTTTTTTATACCACTGAGGTGGCATTCAAGCAAGGTGGGCCGTATACCTGATGGTAACTGGTTCCCGTAGCATATACAATGAATCCTACTTCGTTGTCAAGCAAATCTTTAATAACGTTCTAATTATTTTATTTATTACAAGTTATTTACCACTTTACAATTTAATCGTTCAACCTATCATTATGAAATTTATTATACATTTAGCATTTGTGATGGGAAAGACATAATAGGTTTATTATCTCGATCAATCAATATAACCCAGGCATATAGAAGCGTTGCGTCGTAGATATGTACTAGCTACAACCTAGTATGTATAAGACAAACGCCCTCAAGTGGTTTCGCGGAACATAACAAAAATAATTTTTATTTCGTCTTCATCATTAATTGATATAGAGGCAGAACATTTTAGGGGAATGTGGAATTCTCCCATGGAGAAGGGATGGTTAGTAATGCAGATTATCAGTCCCATTGTGAACAATATACTTTGCCAGGTCGACCTCCACATGGTGCCTCTTGAAAAACATAGAGCTGAATTCCAGGTATATTCATCACAATGGGCTAATTGACCTGCCTTTTCATTCTCACCTATCATCCATCACTGGTGCCGCGCCAGCGAATACTGTTAGCGCAGGCGAGGTAACCATACCATTATCATTTATTAAAGAAATATCTTAGTCCTAAGGAATAGCGTCACACTATACTCTGTGATGTCTATGCTGTTTATGCCTATAGGCAACGGTTACCTCTTTCCATCAGACGGGCCTTCGGCTTGTTTATTATTTGAGATTGCATAAAAAAAATTCGCCTATAGACTACTTAATTTAAAATTTTCGCGTTGTTGACACACATCTTTAAATACACTATCAGGACTTGAAGTCACTAAGAAACTTTGCAAGTGAATAGTACCTACATACCTATTTTTTATTGCCGACGTTTCGAAGAGACTGCGCGGGTTGTAAAAGTAAATTTTGAAAGGGGGAATGATTTCAGAGCTCTTCTAAAAGTGGCTTATTTTAAATCACGTATTCCACGTACACCACTGACAAACTTTATTAAGAGTGTGATTTATTGTCAGTAAGAAGGATTTATGTACTTTATGCAACTCTAAAAGGCACAAAAGTGTAGGACTAGACTTTCTTATTTATTAAAACGTAGGAAAAACATAAATGTGATGGAAAATAACGTTAGGACAAGTTTGCTATGCGACAATATAGTAAATAATCAATGCATTTATACAAGTTATTAAATAATGAATTGAATATGTATAAGCTAAACAAATTTCATCACACACACACACACACACACACACACACACACACACACACACACACACACACACACACACACACACACGCACACACACGCACACGCACACGCGCACGCGCACGCACACGCACACGCACACGCACACGCACACGCACACGCACACGCACACGCACACGCACACGCACGCATGCATGCGTTTAAATATACCCGCATATTACTAATACTATACAATGTTTATATCTTAATTTTATGGTACAAGATTTGTACTTTCATGGTTATGGAGGAGCGTGATGATACAGGTGATATTACTTACTAGAAGATCACAACAACGATCTTTGTATTGTACGAGTACTAATTTTGTTATGAAATAAATATTTTTCATTTGTTTCATCATTAGAAGAACAAACAATAGATAAGTTATTACATGACCGGCTCTTTATCATTTCGCCCATCTGATTCTTTGGGAACTGAATTAAGTGTAGTATTAAGTCGCTAATAAACTTGGAGTTTCCTAATATGATTATGTGGCGGGAGAACGATTGCTAGTAATTGAGATGTTAATCCCATTGTTAACAATATAACCCTGTCAGGTTGACCTCCACGCGTTTCCTCCTGGAAGCCCTTCTGGAATCTCGCCAATGTATACTGACTGTGCGGGTGAAGTAACTATTTCATTTTTACCCATTAATAGAAGTACGACCATGTACTGTAAACCAGGCTTATCTTGACTTTACAGGTAACATATACTGATTTTAGGGCTATATTGACACATACCTTTATATGTTTATACAGTTAAATGTTAAATTTAATACTTAGGATAAAAGATTTGAATAATACAACATATAATTGATTTACATTTATTTCCATATACTTATATTTAGTCAGTTCTGTTGAACATAATATGCATTTTGGCACTTTGTTCACTACGTAATATGGCGGAATATATGTTTAATTTGTAGAACATTTTTAAGAGCTCCGACTGTTAAAACAATATTGAAATGTGCAAAATTATTATACTTATAGGGTTAAGATCACAATAATTTACTATGCCTACTTAACATAAGCGTATTCTTTATATACATTAACCACTATATTTTTATACAATATATATTAATACAACAGACAGAGCTCTAATTTGTACAATACAATATAATCACAATTATCACTAACTGAAATGCAACAACCGTTATGTGATAAAGAGTGAAATAATTGGTTTTCAAACATTGGTAAGTTAATATTGAGTATGGATAAAAAAATGGTTATGTTGAAATGTATTAAAATATTTACAGAAAATATTTATTTATATACATATTGTATTAACATCACGTACACGTAACGAGGTTAAAAAGTTTAACATATTTAATACAAAGATTCCACGTGAAATAATTACAATAATTGTAACAATTTATGGCAAGAAAGAATCTAAAGACCTTGATACAAGATCACAACAATAAATGTACAAATCTTAAAGCTAATATATACAATAAATTTCTATAATTATACATATTCTTCTGACGGTTTTGGCGTGCCATTAGGAAGTCTTAATGAAGAAGACATACGTCCGTTTACAGAATCTGGTAGTTCTGCGATATCTTTGAAAACACCAATCATACTTTCAAAATTTTGACCCCAATTTATTAAATTTAAGTAATCCCACCCAATGGTGCCTGATGGAGGGGATCCATTAGCTTGTCTATATAGTGCAGAACTAACGTGAGGAGCTAAGTCATCATCCGATGCGACTAGAGTACTTAATGATCCTCGGAATGAAGAATCAAAGCTTTCATAAGGAGGTGGTAAAATAGGCTTTTTGGGATTACTTCCACTACTAACATTCTGCCTTCTTACATCATCTGATTTATCGGCATTTATGCTATTATTATCATATTCTATTTCTGAACACGTAAAGCTATCATTACCACTTTCATCATCGGAGCCAGTCGAGCTTCTATTATCATCTTGTGGCGAATGGTGTCTGTGTGACATATGATGACCAACTCCTCCAACTCTCGGCGCCTCACTTGAACTAGATACAGCATCTAAAGTGGAAACTAAACTTGAAGTTCGTTGTCTCGCATTCATTCTCTCTATTTCCTCCGCTGTCAAGCCGACTGCTCCCGATCCAACAGATACTACTTGTGGAACTTGTGGTGTAGCACTAGGTGTTTTTCTTCCAGCTGAAGAACTCTGCCCACTAAGCTGAGACATTACGGGACTATTTAAACTACGCTCGCTGTTGCTATGCAAAGCGTCCTTGCCGACACCACCAGAACTTGATGTTGTAGCTAATAAGGCACTCTGTAGTGGTTTTCCAGATATATCATGAAGAGTTAGTATACGTGGCTGTTGACTAAGCTCGCTACTGGGAGATAAACGGGCAAGTGGTGTTGTTTGATGTTGTCTTGTTTGTGGAGGTGGTTGAGAAGATTGTGGAATTACTCTTGGTGGATATCCACTAGGATGATGTGGTGAATGTCTGTGTTGGGGAGTTTGATGTTTGTGGTGATATCCAGTAACCGGAGGAGGAGTTGCTTTATATTTTCGTACGCCTGCAGCTTCACGAAATCCTTTGTAGTGATATACAATATCAATATCAGAGGGTGCTATAGAACTTGCATTTTCAAGATCGTAATGTTCGGGTACTTCTGAATTTAAATCCATACCATTTGGATGTTCATGAGTGTGATGTGATGTATTTGTAGAAGGTGGTGGTGGTGGGTGATGATCTTCTCTTAAAGCTGGACTTTTTCCAACCACTTCACGTTCTATAATATCAGGACGTTGCGGTCTGGGAGGATCGATATTCATAATATCTCTGTCTTTGTATTTTTTTGATAAAAGTTCAGGACCAACAATATGATGTACATTTTCAGGAATATAGTTACTTAAACTTGTATCATTGTTATGTAAATTTCGGCCCATTATACTGTCATTTGTTCCTGCTATCAAATTTGGAGCATTTAACATTGCAGGTCCACCATTTTGCTTAGAATGAACCATGTTACTTTTATTCGTGGGAGCATTGCCTTTTTCTTTTTTCTGCTTTCGAAGACGGAAGAAAATAAATGAAACCAATATAGCGACTATTAATATGATAAAAAATACTATTACAAGAGTTATTCCAATGCTAAGTGGATCAGGATTTGGAGTTAAACCTGCTCCAAATGCATTTTGGCATCCTGATAGTATTTTTCCTTTACGCAACGTTTCTTTGAATATGCTTCCATTTCCAGAAAATGGTTGTATTTCATTATTTATGGAAAAATTTGCCAAACAACCTTCAAATTTGTTATAACTAGTTAGCGACAACCATTCTGTCCTAATTCCTCCTAAAGATATAATAGTGAGGTAGGGGTCTAAAAAGTCATGAACACCAGCAGAATCTAATTCTTCGCCAACGTTTTTGCCATCTACAATTAAACGTATACTTCTACCGAGTGAGAATAATGTGATGTTATGCCAGATACCATCAGAAACATCACTTTGCTCAACTTGTGTCATGTTTACTATTGTATTTTGTTTCGATGTATAGCTTACTTTTCCTTCCAGTAATTCAATTAATGTGTAATATTTATCTGTCGCAGCATAAAATAGAATTCCGTCTTTTTTGTGTGTTCGAAATGAAAATGATAAACTTTTTGCTGGACTATTTAATTTAATAACAGTCTTGCTAAGTGATCTACTAATTTTCTTATCCCATCCAGTATTTCCACCATAAAAATTTTCAAGTAATTGCATTCTTCTATGTTTTTCTGATACTACAAAAGAAATAAAGCCATTTTCATTGACGGAGATAGACTGGAGAGAAAAACTACAGTCTGGAGATATGAAAATTCCATCACATTTACAGTAATTCGTTTTCCATTTATCGAGGCATTCTCCATCTTTACAAGTATCCCTTTTGTAACATGCTCCTCTTTCCAACCGCTGACAATTATTATCAACACCCCGTGCATGTAATGGATTTGACATGTTCAATAAACGGCCATTGATTGAAATACTATGCATACAGCCAACGAAATCATCAGAATGTATTTGACCCGGACGTTCCAGCACTGGGTCTGCTTTGTGAAGTCCACCGATAAGCAATGGTTCGTTGTTGAAATTCAGGGTTCTGAAAAATATCATGGAAATCAATAAATTAATTGTACATTGTTTACGAAGAGAATGATAGTATAAAGTTAAAACGTTAACATTTTAAAAAATTACGTATTACGTGGATAATATAAACTTTGTTGCGAAGAATGTTATATGGTATAATGTTTTCACAAATTCCATTTATTGATTATCCCAGTGATAACTATTATAGAATTAATAATTTTATTATGCATATTTTCTTTATTATTATAAACGTGAAAATGAGTTTGTTTGTTGCCTTTCCGCGCTTTTACGACTGAACCAATCATCAAACATTCATTACGTGTGTTATATTTGAGATGGAAAAGGACTTATAATACTTTTTATCCCAGGTAATCAACATAATCAGCCTACCAAATTGATCTCGTAGACAAAATTATGGATAAAGCAATTTTGCCCGCAAATGGATTTGAATGTTGAATAATGTTTGATGATTATAATAATGTATAATTTATAACTTTAGTACATACCCTGCCTGTCCAGTATCGTCATCATAGCAAGTGTCATCTCCAGGTTCACATTCTGTACAAACATCGCCATGATCAGTACAGGATGCAATGCTTAATGAAATAACACGACCATTTCTGGTGGCAGTTAGTTTATACCATTCGCCATCTGCTAGGTTTTTATTAGAGTTGGTTATAGCTACAGTTGTTATTGATGTTCTTGATCCACCAAAGGAAAACACTGGTTTTCCTCCCAGTAATTCAATAGCAATAAAGTCTGATCTTCCACCTGTTTGAATGCCGTAATTATAAAGTAATAATGCGTCAGGTTTAGTAGTAGCAAATATAATAGTAATATCATTAGTTGAAGCATCCAGTGCTGGGAACTGCATAAATGATAATTCATTAAATCCAAATGTTGCACTTTCACAATGTGTACCATAGCGGCCATTTGTACAACTACATTTATATCCAGGTTTTAAACTTATACATATACCTCCATGTAAACATGGATTAGGCCTACATGAATCCACTAATGCTTCACACTGATTCCCACGATAACCAGGACGACAGAGACAAAAGAATGAATTTCTATCGGCACTTTCTTTACAAGATCCACCATTTTTACATGGATTATTATTACAGACGTCATCTCTTTCTATTTCACATGTTTTTCCTTCTCGTCGTGTCGGGCAATTGCAAATAAAGTCATGTCCTTGTTTTCGGCATTGTCCACCAAAACGACATGGATTTGGAGAACATGGGTCTTGTCTCTTCTCACAGTTACTTCCAATAAATCCATCGCTACAGAGACATTTATATTCGTGATTTATTAATGGCGATGCAAGTATTAATGTAGAACTTTCCGTTATTTTGGTTTCTTCTAGTACTCTAATAGAATCTGTACAAAGGCCGCCATTCATGCATTGATGAGAAGCACATGGAAAATACGGGACAATTATTTGACGTTTTAATAATTTGGATATTTCTCCTTGTTTGGATTTTAAATACTTTTCTGTATTTTCTCTTTTAAATATTGAATTATTACCTTTAGATACTAGAGTCAAATCCAAATTTCTAGTTACTTCGTTTATACTATACAAATAAATGCTTTCTTTGTTTTGAAGTCCTGTCTTCAAAGTTTCAAGTAGGCTACGGTAATAATGTGAAAGAAATTCTGTTGAAGTCATGTTTATAATTTTCATTGTCACAGATTGTACAATTGTAGAATTATCAAAAGAAAAATATTCGACACTAACTGAAGATATAACATCTCTATGTTTACCATCATTGCCTAATACAGAAAATGAATATCCTTGTCCAGGTCTTACAGCAGTGGTATAAAGATCACATCCTTTTCTAATATTTAAAAGATTAAGAGTATTTTCAGTAGTAGACTCTTTGATTATTTTGCATTTATAATCACCGACAATATCTGGATCGTTTGGTTTGACATCAGCTATTTTTTCATTCGGAACTTTATTATTGAAAGCATAAACGAGAATGTGTACTGATCTCGATGTTGGAGGATTATCATTTCTATCTAAAATTTTTATAAAAATAGTGAAATTTGATTTCATTACTGGAACGCCACTGTCTTCAATTTGGATTATAATTTCCAAATTTGGTGTTAATTCTCGATCTATTTTTCTAGTCGTTAAAAGAACTCCAGTATGTTTGTGGACTTTAACGTAACTTTGATGCTTGCCTCCAATAATCGAGTAAGTGAAAGGAGCTCCATTTGGAGGTAAATCTGGATCTTTTGCTGATAATGTTGTAATACTTGTATTAGGTGGTTCATTTTCATATACCATGCCTTCAAAATTTGCTATATCAAATATAGGACCATTATCGTTAATATCTGTTAAAGTTATTTTTACTGTAGCAGTGCCAGTTTGAGGAGGAAAGCCAGTATCAATAGCACCAACTATTAATGAATATGTTGACATTGTTTCTCTATCTAAATGACGTGCAACTTCAATTTCTCCTGTTTGTGGATCTATTTTAAAATCTTGATTACTATTACCTCCAATTATTGAAAAACTAAATTGATTATTCTGTGGACGAACATCTTTATCTACAGCTTTTACTTGAATTACTGTCTGACCTATATCTGCCCCTTCAGAAACATTTGCTTCATAAAAATGAACCAAGAATTCAGGTGGATCATTTCCATCTTGAATAGATATAATTACTTGTGCTTCGTCAGTATCATTCCCATGAATTCCACCAGAGTTTTTAGCTAATACAGTTAGTACTACTCTATTTTGAGTTTCTCTGTCTAAGTATCGGGCAACTCTTATTACTCCGGTTTGTGAATTAATACTAAAACCTTTATCATTGCTGGAACCAACAAAGAGATAGTAAATTACACCATCATCTCCACTGTCTTGATCTGTTGCTTTGATAACTCCTACATTTGTACCCACTTCAGCTGATTCTGATACATCAAAATGAAATACAGGTTGTATAAATTTAGGGAAATATTCATTGACACCTGTTATTTGTACAACTACTTCAGTAAAACTTTGCATAATAGAATCGGGGTTTTCCGCCAATATTTGTAAACTGTACGATGTCTTTTCTTCGTAATCAAATATTTCTTTAGAAAAAATTTCCCCTGTATTTGAATCTATTCGAAATAGTGATGTCATAGAATTTTTTATAAAATACTTGATAATTGCATTTTTTGGTGAATCAATATCCACAGCCGTGACTTTAAATATAAAACTATTAACAGGAGAATTTTCTGGTAAATATGATGCATAATGAGTTTGGTTAAAAAGAGGAGCATTGTCGTTTATATCTGTTAAAATTATTGTCAAAGTAGCGGTTGTTTCTTTAGATTTGAATCCTAAATCTTTAGCAGTTATATTTAATCGATATTCTTGTATTGTGTCATAATCTAAAGAACGGAGGATACTAATCGTTCCTGTAATAGGATGTATCTGAAATTCTTTATCTGTATTTCCAGATGATATTGCATATCGAACTATACCATTAGGTCCATCGTCTTCATCGCTCGCTTTTATTGTCAGGATGGAAGATCCAATAGGTTCATTTTCAGGTACAATTACTTGATAACTTAATGCAGTAAACTTAGGACTGTACATATTTTCACCTGTTACAACAAATGTTAACGTAGTGATATCTGATTGTGGAGGAACTCCTCGATCAACAGCTTTTATTTTCAGCTCATAGTATTGTCCTAAATAATAAAATTGTTTGTTTACAATTATCCAACCCTCTGATTTATCTATTGTAAGATATGTTGTGCCATTTCCATCAACAACATGATATTCTATTTCTGCATTGATACCAAAATCTTTATCATCTTTCGCAGTTAATTTGATAATTTTTTCACCTAATGTGGCATCTTTTGGTATTGGAATAAATGTTTCATGTTCATTGAATTTAGGTGCGTTATTATTAGCATCAACTACATTAATTGTAACTAAGCATTCAGAAGACATCGGAGGTTTTCCATTATCTGTGGCTACTATGATAACTGAATATGTATTTTCAGGTGATTGATTAATAGATGTTCTTTTATAGTTCATCACAAATTTACTCATAATCTCGCCAGTAGCGGGATCAATAGTAAACAAATCGGATGGTTGTTGCAAAGAATAAGAAATTATGGAATTAGGACCTTGTTTATCTCTATCTGTAGCAATTACTTGTCCTACAAAACTGTTTTTCTTTTGAAGTTCGGGAAAATTAAAACTATAGTAAGAATATTCAAATTCTGGAGCATTGTCGTTTTGGTCTTGAATTGTTATTGTCAAAGGTGTTTCAGAACGCCAAGCTCCATCAATAGCTGCGACCTTTAAAATATACTCATCCTGTAATTCTCTATCCAAAGGACGGGCTACAGTAACATTTCCGCTTATAGAATCTATAATAAATTTGTCACCTGGATTTTCTACAAAACTGTATGTAGCATTTGCATTTGAGCCAGAATCTAAATCAGAACTTGTAACTTTAATAACAAAGGATCCTATTTCAGCATTCTCTGTCACATTAACGCTAAAAAGTCTAGTAAATCTCGGTGGGTTATCGTTTTTATCTAAAACTGTAACAACAACTGTTGAAGTGCCTACTAATTGCGGTACACCATGATCTACTGCCTCAACCAGAATTTCATAGTATGGTATTGATTCTCTATCTAAGGCAATATTAGTATATATTTCTCCAGTTTCAGAATCAATTTTAAATGTTTCTTCAAAATCATTAACAAGTCTAAAAGTTATTCTACCGTTTTCGTTTGAATCATCATCATGAGCGTCAATTTTAATGAGAAACTGAGGAGGAGATTCCTCTTCTGGTATTGTAGCGTTATATAAAATGTTTTCAATTATTGGAGGATTATCATTGGCATCAGTTACTTTTATCTCTATTTCAATAAAAGATTTCAGTGGTGGGTTATCAGAGTCACGCACTTCAAACCACACTTCATATAGAGGCATCGTTTCGTAATCAAGACCTTTTCCAGTAATAAATACTTCACCACTAATAGGCTCTATTCTCAAAGCATCGCCTATGTTACCACCAGCAATCGCATATTGTAACAATCCTATTGGACCTTTTTTAGGAGATGTTGCAGACAATCTAGTCACTAAAACACCTTCGGGTGTATCTTCAGAAAAAGTAAATGTTAATTTGTTTGTAACAGTGAATTTAGGAAAGTTTTTTACTGATTTAGGTATAAGTATTAGTTCTGCACTACTCTGTCTGGGATTATTGCCACTATCGGTAGCAATTATTAGTAGATTGAATGTAGTCCTACTGTTACTCACAAATTTAACAATATTTTCTTTAGCTTTTATCACACCCGTTTCACTATTTATATTAAACAAGTTATGATGTTCTCCTTTTAGACTATAAACAATTTTTTTATTCAAACCAATATCATTATCTTTAGCCTTAACTCCAAACACAAAATCATCTTTCATAGTCCGTTCTGAAATATGTGCTTCATATACAGGATGCGCAAATGTAGGAGTATTGTCGTTTTCATCTTCAACAATAATTGTAAGATTAGCAGTGGCAGTTCGTGGATCAGTCGTAGATGAATCTTGTGCCATAATTATAAGATAATAGATATCCCATTCTTCTCTGTCTAATGTAGCATTTGTAGAAATAGTGCCCTTTGATGGATCTATTATAAATCTCTCTGATTTATCGCCAAATAAACTATATCTAATCTTTGCGTTATTGCCAAGATCCTTATCAGTAGCTTTAGGATAAAGAATAATTGTTCCTGGAGGTAAATTTTCTTTCACTGTGGTTTTGTAACTTTGTCGTTCAAAATCGGGACTGTTATCGTTGACATCTTGTACAACTATTTTTACAGTGCCAGATCCAGTAAGAGGCGGTGAGCCTGTAAAATATATATAAACCCATTTAAATTAACTACAATAAATATCTTTTATAAATACTATAGACAGCCCTGGATACAATCAGTTTATGCTGCGACAGTGATTTTATTCTCGCGGTATTTACTCGTCTGTAAATTTTTTGGTTGTATACTATAGAAGTATAATTTTTAACAGCTTCCTTTTAAAATAAATTTTGTGGGTTATTTAAAAGGACATATTATTCACAGGTAATAAAATCAGGGTCACAGTCAGTTTAATATTTCTACTAATATATCTATAATTCTTAAAAAAAATCTCATCAAAATATAATACAACTGCAGAATTCTCGTTGTTTATATATTTTGTTATTGACATATATTGATTAAGAAATAGCTCAGAGAGAAAGTAAATTTCATCGAGAGTACTTTTAAATAAAAATACTCAAAAATCTAATCAAATTAATATTTTTGAGTACCCATATTTCTTAAAAAATAATTTTTAATCCAATAGAAATTGTATACTAAATCGATCATGTTTCTTGGGAAAACTTATTAAGATTTACGTGAATTATTGTTGAATTTTTGATCGATATACACTTTCCTTTATGTGCTATATCATCATCATATCATCCATTAACTATCCATTGCACAGCTTAAGTCTCCACTATAAAGAGGGATTTGCCAGTAGTTATAACATTATGCTATACATTATAAGATAATTATGTAGTATTCAGTATTTCAACTTACCGGTATCCATTGCAACTAGAGCTAATGTATATTCATCTTGTGATTCTCTGTCTAATGTTCTCAATAACGAAATTTGCCCAGAAGAAGCATTTATTTTAAAAAGATCAGCATCGCCTTCTTTAATAAAATAACGTACTTGATTGTTAAATGGTGGTGAATCAGCATCGTATGCTTGAATTGTTATTATGTATCCACCATTAGGTGGGATTACATTTTCCATTACATATGCTAAGTATGGTGAATCTAAGAAAGTGGGCGGATTATCATTAATATCTTGTATAGAAATAGATATTTCAGCCGTATCAAATCTAATATCATCTTTGGCGCAATCTTCAGCTCTAATCGTGAGAATATAACGAGATTTTCTTTCAAAATTCAGGTTTTTAGCTACTCTGACTATACCCGTATCTTCACTGATACTGAAATCTCTATTTTCATCACCAGATGCTATTGAGTATCTTACTCTACCATTAGCACCTTCGTCAACATCAGTTGCTGAAACCTATAAGATGAAGAAAAACACTATATCAATATAATGTAATTATTTAAATAATTATAACTGTTCAGATCATCAGAAAATATTTGTGTGATAAAAATAAAATAATAAATAAAGGACAGAGCGTCCACTCTCATAACCAACAGCCTAAATGGTCGCGTACAACGCGGTTTCAGAGATGTTTTCTCCCACGAACACTCAGGTTATGGAATGAGGTCCCTGCCGAGGTTTTCCCAAGAGACTACAGTATGGGGTTCTTCAAAAGGGGGGTAAAGAGGTTTCTTCAGGGTCGGCAACGCGCATGTAATACCTCTGGTATTGCAGGCGTTCATAGGTTAAGGTAACCGCTTACCATTAGGTGGGCCGTATGCTTGTTTGTCACCTCAGTGGTATAAAAAAAATAAAAATATTAATAATTACATATTTTTTAAATAAGGAATATCTATATGTAAACTTATCTATATACAAATATCAATGCTCCAACATAATTTTATTGGAGGTATATCTAAATATAAACTAATATTATAAAGAGGAAAGGTTTTTTGTGTATAACGAATGAACTTAAACAATACTTAAAAAATTTTTACGTATAGAAAGCTACATTATTAGCAAGTAACATGGGCTATATTTTATGAAAAAAAAAAAAACGGTCAAGAGTGAATTAAACTAATTTGTCGTGAGTTCTTTACAAAAATGTTACTAAAAAAGTTTTTATTTTGTTTAGATGAAAAAATATTCGAATGTGATATACGCTCACTATTGCTTTAAAATTACATTGAAATGCTAATAGACATAAAACCAATAATTATTCACATTCCCATCAGTTGACTAAGCATGGCGCTAAAAATCTACTTAAAAATTAATGGCCTCAGTAGTGCTGAAGAGTATTAATATATATTGAAATACTACTACTTATGTACAAAATATAAATATACATACTTAAATAATAATATATATGTAAACAAATCTAAAAAATACATAAATATAGAGTATATACAATTTCAATATTTTACAAAACAATCTTAATCATGGTACGGTAGAAAGATAATATGATTTTAACCTTTTTTAAAGAAATTAATGGAGGGACTACCTTGAATGTATAAACGGAGTTTATTTTATAGCTGTGCAGTAGTTTCAAAACCCTAGAATGATTTAGGCAAAGACGTCTGGGTCTTGAGGGAAGAAGTAACAATTAGAACCGGAAAAGAAGGTACAGGATTTGGGATTAGTCAGGATATTATAAAGTATAGACAGAATATGTATTTCATAACGACGTCGAACAGTGAGAGAGCAAACTTAAACAATCATGAAATTCAGAAATGTGATTATATTTGAGCAAACAAAAGACAAATCCAATCGCTAAATTTTGTAAGCGTTTAAATATTTATAATTTATTTAGTAATATATGTAGGTCAATGGTATGTAAAATAATTTTAAAATTTAAATTGTATTAGTAATTATTGAGGTATAACGCCGTGACAGACGGATAAACGGACGGACTGATGAACAAAGTTACACAATTACTTTGTACTTTGTTGGTACGAAAACCTAAAAAAAATGGCCAAAGCCGGAGCAAGTCGCTAGTACAAACAAAACAATAGATAAGTATCCTGTTTTCATTGAAAAATCTTACTTGTAATACGTTGGCGCCGATGCTAGCATTTTCTGGAACAGAAGCACTGTATTGTTTTGGATCAAAAACTGGACTATTATCATTTTCATCAAGAATGTTAATTTGTAATTTTGTTTTAGTAACATTAGGCGGATCTCCTCTGTCTTTAGCAGTCACTGTTACAATGTAGCTAGACTTTAATTCTCTATCAAGTCTACCAGTTGCTCGTAATATTCCATCAACATTTCCCAATGAAAAATAGCTGTTTACATCAGAATCCGGATTTATAAAATACTCGACATATCCATTTCTTCCTTCGTCTTTATCAACAGCTTTTATGGTCATCACTACTGTATTCAGTGGTATATTTTCCGATACTGTTGTTGTATTTGGGGTTACGAATTCCGGAGACATGTCATTCACATCCTTTAGTTGAACGGTTACCTGTAATGAACCGTTACTACTTATCGACTTTTATAATTTGAATCACAAAACATTCTGTAGTGTCGAATTAGTTAAAAAGGCTAATTCGCAATTTTTTCTAAATTATGCGCGAAATTAATAACAATGATGCTGCTAGAACTATAGTAAAATTGACACTAACGTCTAACTAATCTCAAAAAAATGAAACCTGTCTTCATATAAACTCAAAATTATTACAAATAAACTTTACTTAGTAAATAACATGCCGCAGTTAAAGCTTATTTTAAAGCGACAGGTGTTTAAATTAGTGATGTTTAATGTTTATGAATAACAATAGTTATTTACCTGAACGGTAGAAGAAAGCTGTGGCTCAGGAGGTTTTGCTGAATCTTTAGCCGTGACAATTAAATTATATACAGAGATTGTCTCTCTATCCAACAAGTTTTCGGTATAAATAGTACCGTTATTAGTTATCATAAAATCGTGGCCATCATCTCCAGATGTAATTGTATAGCTTAATTTACCATTTAAACCTGTAAATTATCGAAATACGTTATACTTAGTATACATGTTAGATCACAAGGTTAACATTAGTGTTTCTTTATACTTACAACAACTTCAGAAATCCTATTGCTGAATTAACATAAATTCTTAAGCTATTATTTCATTATTGTTGGTATTTCTTTAAAAGATGTGTAATATAAAGTTTACTGCAACTATTATATTTTAATCAAATGTTCGATTAACTTAATTAAATGGAGAAGGAATAGTATGTTATATAATAGTATCGCCAATTTTGAACAATTAATTATGGTTGTTTTATCCATTTTACCAATTTTTAGAAGTCTCCTTTTTTATAGAATATGTGAAATACTAAGTAGCATAAAAAAATACATTTTTTATATTTAAAAGAAATCCAAGTAAATTGAACTTAATATGAATATCCATGGAGTCCATAATAATTATTAGTCTTATATGATTACCTGAATCCATGTCAGTGGCACTTATTGTGACAACGGAAGTCCCAATTGGTACATCTTCCAGTATTTCATTTGAGAAACTCATTGGATCAAAAATTGGAGCATTATCATTGAGATCAATTACATTCACGTAAACTGTGACAGTTCCTGACAGGGATGGATGACCGTTATCTTGAGCTTGAGCAACCAAAATATAGTGCTGCGTCTGAAATAAAAAAATATACATATATGTATGTATAAATCATAAATAATGTGGCATAATCATGGCATCTATTTATATTAATGATTAAATAAAACTTTTGAAATTAAAGTAAATGCACCTACTTATATTTATTACGATAATAAAGTACAAATAATAATACATAATTAAAGAGTAAGTATAACGATAGGCCGTGAAAGTCTCGGCATACACTAGACCTCCCCTTCCTGACCCGTTGGTGACGTAAAAAGTGTCTAAGGGAGAGCAAAGAATGGGCTGCAACGTCCCTCTCAAAAGATCTCTAAAGCCTAACTGTGGTTGCCAATTCGCCTGCCACTATGCTTGGCAATTACTGGCAAAACCTCCCAAGGGAGAGGCTTATGTTCAGCAGTGGACAGTTAAAGGCTGATATGAGTATAACGATTAAAACTTATTAATTTACTTATATTGTTTGTATAATTTATAAATATATCAATTATAGTGATATAAAATTAATAAGACAGGTTCTCGAGTGGCGACTCCGTACGGGCAAACGCAGTGTAGGACGACACCCCACTAGATGGAGTAACGACCTCAAATGCAATGCAGGGGATCTGTGGATGCAGATGGCTGAGAACCGTTCCTTATGGCAGTCTATGTGGGAGGCCTAAGTCCAGCAGTGGACGGGTAATGGCTGAAATGATGATGATGATTAATATAATAGCTGTAATTAATATTTAGTTACTATCTTTATTATCTATATTTATTGGTATTTCTGATACTGTATTTACTGTGTTTCGGATATGGCAAAATGCTTAAATAGTAGTTTCTCTACAGATTATACTATTTCTTCAAAAAGGATATATTAAGGTTTCTTTAGGGTCGGTAACGCACACCCCTAGTGTTGCAGATGTCCATAGGCTATAGTGACCTTTTACCATCAGACGGACTGCATGCTTATTTGCCACAGTGGTATAGTGGTATAAAAAATATTAATATTACATATAATAGTAATGATTAAAAAGGATACTTAATAAAATTTAATTCATTGCAACAAAATCTGAAAATTAAATATCGAAGTACGAGTAAGTATAAACCTTAGTAATAATATTACACGAGCGATGCTGGTATTCAGATTTTCCATATAATAGGACTGTAAAGCTTCCCAGCTATGACGAGCTCCCTCATTCGCGAACCATGAAGCGAGATGGCGATTAAAAAAACAAGCAGTGGTCGCGGAATCCGGCCCGGGGATGTTTTGTGGACGGTCGCTTTGTAAGACATTGTTCAAGCCTTAATTTCGATGGCGGATCGAGTGGCCAAATGCCGAATATGATGCGCGACGCGAAAAAACTATACTGGGATGAAATTAACAGCTCTCTAGTGGGGTACGGAGAATTGGCAGGCGGTCGAGCAAACGAATGTACGCGAGGAATTGCTTTACTAATTAGAAGATTTGGTTGACTCGATGAGTCTCAGATGAAGCGTTCACTCACGCTAAAAGTGAGCTTTAAGGCTCTAATATAAAACATCATTATTACAACAATGGTGCACAATTTTTTTTAATAAATAATAGAAGTAAAGTAGTAGAATAAATCAAATAACAATATGTTTTGTCATGTTACTATGTGTAAATACGCGTGTAGTGCAATTATTGAAGAAAATTTAGTAAATATGATACAATGATATGGTATTAATCTTATCATATATATTTAATTGTGTATGACTAGACATAAAAAATATTATAATTTAAATATTAAAAAAAATGACTTTGCTTGTAATATGTTGGATGTAGAAAGAAATTTGTAAATACAAAGTAAAAAGTCTGCATACAATACAAGTTTTGATTTATGTCCACGAGAATTTAACGACATGCTTACAATGTTAGAACACTATTGATGAGTATAAGATGGTAAGATAGTTACGAGTACATTTAAAGTTGCCACAAAAACTGGATAAATAGGCTTATAAACTGTCAACCGCAATGTCGCTACATCTATCTAAATGTGAATATTGTGCAACGCATACTTATTACTTAATTATGATGCAACGATGCATTCTTTAACAAATTATAATAGATATAATATTTTTAAAGATGTAAATGTTTAGATATTTACGAATACAATTACGAAGGAACAGAAAAATTTAGCACAGCTTATGGCTCTCTTGGTGGAAAATGATAACGGTCGCCTTTAGACATGATCAGAATTATAAACATCACAGAAGAATATTCTGTATTGTGATGTTCCTGGCACTCCTCATGCATTGCTTTTTTTGCCTCTGTACCATGTACTTTCACTGCAATTTCTTACTGTTCAAAGTAATATACAATTGTGCAAATATAGCTATTTCGCAGCTGCACCATGGATAGGACTAATAGAAAGACGGTGAAGCAACACTCGTACTCTACTTTTGTACAAATAAATAATAAATGAATAGCATTGCATATATTACTCAACGCCAGCTAGTCTCAAACTAAACAAGTCTGTAATATTAGTCAGTTCAGTAGAGTTATATTTTCAATTCATAACATTACGATGAACGGCTTATGTCACATAAATGTATCCGTAATCTTTTCATATAGTGGCGGTCTTTTATTAAAATCTTGCTCAGGGCTAACAATCTTTTGTTTTGAAATTGCACATCTTGTCTATAGCATGCAATATTTTATACAACAATAGTAATAAATTTTACTAACTTCCATGTAATATATAAGGGATGAAGAATGAAGATATATTTTATAAAACTCTAATCGTTTCAATATCCTTGGACTTAAAGTTTTTTTTTTTTTATAATAAATTATCGTTTTAACGTTCCGTTATGACAAAAATTGACAGAAATAATAATTTCTATATGTCTAAATATTTTTCTGAGTATATATAAAATGATATTTACATTTATACTTTGTATCTACATGTTCTTAATTTAATCTCCTTATTCATAAACGTCAAATGTACTAATATTTATTAATTGCAGCATTGTCTTTCTTTATTAATTTACGAATAGTGTGATACAATATTATTATACATAAATTGGGGACTTTTTCATATTGTTATCAATTAGAACTTAACTTTCAATAATATTTATTGATAAATTATTTTTTAAGAAACTGTAACTTTTATCAGTGTGTTCATATAAAAATAAGAAAAAAATATATATAAATGAGGAACAAAAATAAAATGAAGCATAGGGTTCAGGGCCGTTTCTTATGACAATCTATGGAAGAGAAAGTTTATAGAGGTCTATCAGATTAGCAGTGCTGACTTTAAATTTCTGCAATAATGATAATAATTTGGAAAATGTGGAATTTGTAGAACGTGATATACTAATAGCTTTAGATTTGTAAATATGACTATATTTGTTTATACCTCACAAAACTGACTGCAATTATAATGTGTACACAATAAAAAAAAACAATGAATACGACTACATTTATTATGGTATTAATAACAACTTTAGGACTTTTGTAATGCTAAGACCCATCGTCGTTCAGTAGAGCAGCTTTATGTCTTCAACGGTCAACGCCCCTTTAGATCTATGTTAAGATAATTCTTTCGACCGCAATGTATGGCCCGAAGCACTCAGGGGCAGCGTCAGGCGGACGTGAATACCTACCTACCTACTCTAAAAATAACTTCCACTTGCTCTTGTAAACGCACCTTTGATGGTATATTTTTCACTGTTACAAAGTAACGATGCAGGATTGTAAAAATTGCAAGCACGATTTATGTACATAAATAAAAGAAAAAATGTTTTCCCATATAATATAAACCAACATATATATTCCAACAATGATGGAACTCCCAAGAGCACAGAATACTTATTCACTATTCGAAACAACTTATTATTATAATTTCTTAGTTATAGTATGACCTTCTTTAATAATAAAGATGTAATATATATAAGCAAGTAACATACGCTATATGTAAAATGATTTTTTACGAATATTACAATAATATAAACCAAATTATCAAAAATTTTTCCTTTACAGCTAATATAAAATATTAATTTATCTTTCTATCTATCTGTGTAAAGCTGGAAGCGTGGTTCGTTAGTTTTTTATAGAAATAAATTTTATAAAATTAATTATATTGACGATTAATTATTTGATTTTAATGTTTGATCAATATGGAAATGATAACAAAAATTATCGATTTTAATATTTTTGATCGCAAATTAAAACAAGAACAGTTTTATTAAAGAAAGTTACAATTCGTCTATCCTGTACAAACTTATAACTTATAATATTCCATACAATGTGACTGACAGAGATTAGTCAGATTAATTTATAACAGTTTAAACAATTATAATTAGTTCACAGAGCCGCCTTATAGTAACTAATAATAAATCTTATGCCGTATTATGGTCTGAGAAAAATTCTTAAAGATTAGACTCGAATGCCAATAAGTATGAGGGTGATGCTTTAAACACACTTTAAACTCACAACTTCACTTAAGATCACTTTGTAAACAGGTGTGACCTGTAATGTATATGTATATATATATATATATATATATATATATATATATATATATATATATATATATATATATATATATATATATATATATATATAGATAACACAAGTACAATGCTACAGATCATAAGAATTGAGATATTGCTTCAAACGCCAACTAAATTGCATTGCTTTTTTAATCTTTCAAATTATTAGTTTTGAGATGCAAAATAATGATAAAATACTGGTTCAGATTTTTTTAGATAAAACTCACGTACATTTAATTATAATATAAAGCATTCCAATTAACTTACCTCTTCATAGTCCAATCGTGTAGTCAACGTAAACACTCCAGTTTGTGGATTCAAAGAAAATACATCGTTGGCCCAATCCGATATAACGGTGTACGTCAGCTGTGCATTGGAACCAGAATCCAAGTCCATAGCTGCCACTGTGCCTACTATTGAACCTCTAGCGGCATTCTCGGGTATGTTGAAGGAGTACGCGTTCTCTTTAAAGGTTGGAGGGTTGTCGTTTGTATCCGTGATCTGAAATTTTCGAATTTCTTTACATTTTTTGTCTGGAATCACTTGTGCGAGCGTTGCATATAAATATGTAATGTACTCGTAAACATTAGTACTTTGACAGTGTGTCATTAAAAAATATATATATTAACTATTTTTACAACAATCTACATTTAAAGAATCAATTACAAACAGAAACCCTTAAAATCTTTATTTGATAATTATTAACTAACCTGCACTATTATTGAAACATCCGTAAACTGCACTCCGTCGTCAGCTCTTACCACAATATGGTACTCCGATATAGTTTCTCTATCCAAAGGGTCTTTAAGTGTAAGCAATCCAGTATTTGAATCCAAATGGAATGGCACCAGTTCTTCCGTCTGAATACTATACACAATACTACCGATAGTGTCCGGATCTTCAGCGATGATAGTGGCAATGCGTTGACCTGGAGCAAGGTCTTCGGAAGCAAGGTAAGCTGTTGGTATATTCTTGAATTCTGGCGGACTGTCATTTTTGTCCAGAATTATAACTTCCACCTGGAAATAATGAAAATTATATGCATTAGTTGTCACTGTTTAAGCGATTACAAAAAGAAATGGTGATCAAAGGGAGATTTTCGTTTTATTTTATATTCATTATGATAAAAAAAAATTATAACTTCAAAGTCATTATTTTAAAAGGATTGTGAATTACCGCCTAAAGTGTATATGTTTTATAAAATTTCCTACATTGGAAATGGTTTTATAAATAAAATTTAAGCTTTTATTGATGTCTTATGAAGGCGTAAGAATCTTTTTGAGAAAGTTTATATAATATCAAAAAATAAATTTAAATTGAAAAATATTTGTATTGATAATTACATACTATTCCTAGTAAGTATGCATTCTTTATGCAAGTATGAAGTAATGAAAGGAAATTCAAGATTAATAAATTGGGATTTTAACAAAACAGTCACATGGGAGGCTAGACGTTGTTTTATTTATGAGACTGGTATACAATCGACTACCTTAAAACATATCTATAAAAACAAGACCCAATTAATAATTCTAAAAATGCAGCTGGTCAGTGGCGTCGACGAAATGAGCGTCACAGTGAATGCAGATGAATAACAAAATTTTCTTTGCATTACATTTAGGTGCTATATTTTTGTACTAAAATGTAATTTGTATTAATTACAAATAGTCTTAAATTGTATAAAATTAAGTGCAATTTGCATTAATAATGTATATTATGGTTATTTTATTATTGATTGGAAAATATAAATATAAGAAATTATCACTTTAAGTGTTTTAACCTAAAAACAATTACACTTGAATGCACTTGTATTTTCATTATAAGCTGATATCCATATCAAAAGTAAATGTGCAAAAGCATTTTAATAATAAATAATACTTTATTTTTCTACACAATTTTATGTATTATATTAATTTGTTATAGATGATTATTAATCGGTACGGAATAAAACACTAAAATAAGAAAAGTTATGAGTAAAATAAACAGACGGCTGCGCTTTCGATGTTAGTATCACTGATCCTAAGTGCATTCATCAATATGATTAATGGGTTCACTTTAATTTATTTTTCGTAATTCAATTTTTTTTTTTTACTTTTTATACTATCATTTTAAGATGCCGCTTTATGTGTATTTTTGATGGGTTTTTGCTTGTGTATTTCGCAAAGATTGATTATCTTTGAATATAATTATACATTTCAATATTATTAATGAAGGACAGATAGTTATTCTTTGCGTGGCTTATGATAAAGCAATATTACATAATTGAGTTTTTTATAAAACAAATCTGTCAATGTTTTTTAGTCAACGCTTTAACCGAAGCCAGTATTTAGTTCTCACTTGATGCGATATATTAGATAAGATTTATGAAGTCAGAGGCGAACTTTACAAACGCTGTCGGTGAACGTTTACAAAAAGCGTTCAGAAAGAACTCGACAAGTCAACAAAAGCAGAGAGGTAAAAGACTAAAACGGAACAGTATTTCGTCATCCGTGCTCTGAAGCACGAAGAATTCGAGATACAATGATCGGGGCCGTCACAGATAAGAAGGGGCCGATTGTGGAGAGTTCCCTGCCCTCTGTGAGGAGAGGCTGCGCATTTGTTATGATGACTCAATCTTTTCTTTGTATCCGAACGAGGGTGCCGTCCGCGTCGTAAGAAACATGCATAGAATACCACTTGAGACGCCCACGAATCTTTACGTAAGAGAAGCAGCAATTAACGTTGATTGTACGATCGTACTTCTTGAGGAAATAAATTGTGGTGTGTGTGTTAATAAAATTTATTGTTCACAAAATAAGAATGCATGAGAAAAACGTCGGATCGATCGTAAACATTTAGTTTGTGTTTGTAACTGTACAAATTCTCAGTAAATTTGAATTAACAGTTGAGTTGTGATAATTTATAACGGAAATGTTAGAATTTGTGTCAATTATTATATTATAAACTGCATTTACCTTACTTTTATTTAAGACATGTAATCGTAGGTGTGTATTTAATAAATTACTATCATGCACTTAGACTATAAAGAACAAAAACCGATTAAAAAGATTTATATAGAACAAAAAGTCCTGTATATAGTGCCTCTGCACTAGTGGACCCCCTAGAGTTTATATTTGAAGTAATCGATTAGGCGAAGAGAAATGACAGTGCGTCGGTTTGGATAGTCGATTAGTTAAGTTTTGATAATTGATTGCGGTTCGCTACTAGATTAATAAAAAATAATGTATGTTTTCATCTAGTTCAAGAATTGAAAAGTGATCCATAATAATATAATATAATAAATATACAATGGTAAAAAAAGAACACAATTACAGATTAGATAGGTGTATCAATTGAAATTCCTACCTCGTATCTAGTAACATCAGTTACAGTCGTTTAATAAAAATGGAAATATCTATTTTTTTATGATTTTCTTATAACAATATTTAATTAGATGACTACAAATGTATTCTAGAGATTTTGTGCCTGCAGGTGAATCGGAAACACCCCTTGTAAAAATCTAAGGGGGCGGTCTATTTTAATCAATAGATATTTAAATACTGAAAAAAGATAATGACTTAATTTCATTAGATGTAGCACATTTTATGTGCATTCAAATTGTATTAAACGAAATTATTCCCTAATTCTTTAAAGAATTTTTTCGAAAGATACAGCTATTACCAAATTAGTATCTTCAATCATAATACATTAAAAAATGTGTTTTATGCAAAGATGTTAATTATCATCAGACTAACCAGCCTGCAGCCATTTAATGCTTATTGCTGAACAAAGATATTTTTCATAGATTACCAATTCGAGTTAAATGACTGGCCAATTGCTGCTAAGCCTTTAGGCTATATTGGAAACCAGCTACGCATGTGTTCATTTTCAGTTAAAAAAACACAGTAGGTATATATTTTGTATTAAGTATGTACTAGAATTAAATAAAAAATAATTGTATAGTAGTTTCGTTTGTAAATATGAAATAAAAAAATTGTAATTCTAATATATTATATCACATAAAAAAATTAAATTCAGATAAATGATATAAATTTGTTTAATAGAAAGAAAAGGAATGGCGAATAGTTTATTTATTAAATATTTGTTTAGCAAAGATATCAATATTGCACGAAGAAACTAAAATTTAATACGAAGTAAGTACTAATATTATTAATTATCTTGTTATTTATTTTATGTAAAAACAGATTTGTTAGTAAGTGTTGCATAAAATAATAAAATCGAAAATATTTTCATTGTCAATCTCAATATGTTTAGAGGAGTTCCAATGGCGGGGCTTATTCAGTGTCTGGCAATATATTTCATAGATTATTAAAATGGAAATTATGTGTTGATTGTAATAAATGACACTCATTTTTCTTGCTTATAATTTTTATCATAGTAGTATATTGAGGTAATAAATACAGTTGACTTATATTTCCTGTTGACGGGCTAATATAAAATATTAGAATACTTATAATATACTTTTTGTTTTATTTTTATTCTTTATTGTACACAAAAGGTTATTGAAATAGAAAAACAAACACAATGGTGCACAAAGACGAGCTATTTTTATTTTATTATTTTTAGAGATATCTAAAAGAGATTTCTTCCAGTAAACCCAAAATTTTTAAGTTTTCTATCGATATCGAATAAGAAGAGATTTTCAATTTGAGTATATTTTTTTCTAAACTTTGTGCCGATTTGAAAAAATCTATCTTTAATTAATTGATAAAAGGTTTTCTCTCGTGTCGATTTCACACTTTGTCAATATTGAAGCTTTTTTGTAAAATACAATCTTAAATTATTTCTATTAAGAAAGCATCACAATTCTTTTAAATGAGAAATTGTACATAGATCGATTTTAAAAATACTTTGACCCGAGACGTACCAAAACCTTTCTTTTCTCTCTGAAAAATGACGATGCGTGGTTTTCGTTTTGGAAACAGTGTAATTTCACGAACATCAATCATTCAAGTCGCTTACCTTCAAAATTTTTAAATCACTCCTTTTATTACCTCATACCTATATTTTATGTAATTTTACTGCGAATTTATACATTATCCAAATCAACTATGGTACCCCGTAAACCTTAACATGACAGGAATATTAATCGATAATATACTCTCAACAACAATGTAACAAATCTTTTTAAAAACATATAATATGTAGTTTAATTAACATAAATTGTATTGCTACTACCATCCGTTGGTGGCCTCTAACATGACTTATCGAATAACGGCTTTATGTGCCCTCCGAAGCACTAAGTGATAATAATTTCTAAATTATCTAAACATTAATTTGAAAAATTTAATGCTATTATGTACTATCTGATCAAGTGATCATAGCTATATTTTTATATTTTGTGTCAAATACCTATATCCAAAACTTGTGTAAATAATTCCACCTTTACATCAAAACTTTTACACCACAATCCCAATTAAAATAATATCCACAAATAATTTTTAAGGATTTAAGAACATCGGTGGGTACATATTTAAGTTAAAGCGATGCCGTGAGCAAAAGCTACACGAAGTTATGAGTGGATGCTGTCGACCAACGGATATGGTGGCATCGTTTAGGGCTAGACTCTATGTTTAGAAACGCTCGTGACCGCAAAGCGCCGCTATACCCTCGGGACTATGCACAATTATGTTATGGTGTCAGAGATTAGTGAGCGAGACGCGGCACTGATCTTTATGGCCCCTTATTTGTTTTGTACCTGTCATTTAACTCGATGATGATATTTTTACTTATCAATATGCATGTTTAAGAAAATTATTTGTTCTTTGATTTATATACATAATATCTTTTATGAGTGATTTCAATTATAGACGTCTTGTAATGTTCTCGCATACAAAGATATCAAGAAAATTATTCATATTACATAAATATTTAAAATTATCAACTTATTACTTTAAATAAAAAAAAATCCATTCCAAAGTACCTACTGGTTATCTCTGCAAAGGGACAAAAAATTTTAATAATGTAATGCAAATACATATTATTGTTTTGTTTTATTTTATATGCTTGTTTGCTATTGTAA